CAGTCTGAAAACGGCCAGAAAGAAACTGTTCCTGAACTTGCTTGTGCGCGTGTTCAGGCTTCTGTATTTTCTGCCTGACGGAAAAAGTTGTAGCAGGTCACTACAAGGGTGCAACAGGTCTTTGATGATGTTGGCCGCCTTTCCAGGCAGTGAGCCATGTAAATAGAGTCCATGGATGGAAAGTTGGCTTCCGTCATGGTCTGGGCTATGCACGCAACCTTCTGTCGTTTCTTACGGTCCTGGGCAGAGCAGTTGCCATACCAGGTCGTTATGCACCCAGACAGCGTGCTTTCAATGGCGCATCTGTAGAAGTTGGTGAGGGGCCTTATGGACATGCCAAATTTCCTGAACCACCTGAGGAAGAAGAGGCGTTGTTGTGCCTTCTTGGCTGGTGTATCTACGTGGGAAGTCCAGGACAGATCGTCGGTTATCGTCACTGCGAGGAACTTGATGGTCTTCACCCTTTCAACCTCAGTTCTGTTTTGGGGCGTGTTCTCCTTTCTTTCTGAAGTCAATGATCAGTTCTTTAGTTTTGCCTACGTTGAGAGACAGAATGTTTTCATTGCATATTTGGGGAATGGTGGGCACTGGTTTATTTGAATCTGCCAGTTTTATGACAAATACTCTTACAGAAACCCAATACAGTAACTTCCCGTATTCTTTGAAGCAAAAGTCTTCAAACTAAATGTCAAAATGGCATTGCAGGGGCAGAACTCGTTGGGTTCTTTTTATTCATTCACAAGATGAAGGTGTACTTGGCTAGACAGCATTTATTGCCTATCCCTAACTGCCCAGTGGGCAGTTACGTATCAACCAAATAGCTGTGGGTCTGGAGTCACATGTAGGCCAGACCAGATAAGGGTGACAGATTCCTTCCCTAAAGGATATTAGTGAACCAGATGGTTTTTTTTCAAACAATCAACAATGGATACATTTAACTCTCAATTTCAGATTTTTATTGAATTTGAATTCCATCATCTGCTGCTGCAGCATTCAAACCTGGATGCCCAGAACATTAACATGGTCTCTGGATTAACAGATTATCCAACTGTGAACAAAGCACTAGGCCGTAATGTCCCCTGGAAATTCTAACAGTCAACAGAATTAGCAATTGCATCTTGAGCAACAGTTGATGTAAAGGACTGAAGAAATGTGAGTTTAGGCTTTCAGATATTAGAGATTTTAGACATGAAGCAATCACAAATTCAACAATCCACTAGTGTAATGGTACCTCCATGAGGAGGATGACTAGTGGTGGCTGAGAGAACTACTAGCTGGCAAGTGAACATATGCACGTTAGAACTTGGTGTGCCCAGGTCAAATAGATGTTTTTTGAAGAAACTTTGTGAAAATGGTAGATTTTCTTTGACATTTTGCTGACTGCATGAGAATTCCAGATGTTTTGCTACCAGACAACAGGGAGATAATTGTAGCCGCAGACACTGATCTGGGATGCCAAATGCAGCAGTGAATTACAGATCCTTTTTGCAGGAATTTACAATTTGTGAATTTCATTTTCCCTCACGCCCCTTCGCCTTCCACTCAATCCTCTTCTCCTCACTCCCCTCTCTCCCCACTGCCCTCCCGCCCCCCTCTTGCTGACCGTTACTCAGTGCCGTCCTCGTGCTCTCTCTGCCGAGGTCGCGTGTTGAGGGAGCGGTGAAATTCACGCGCCGCGGGGGTCACGTGGACTTGAGGCGCGCGGAGTGGTCAGGGTCATCGAGAGGGGCCGAACTGACGAGCAGCCAAGTGTGAGGAACGCATAGCGTCTATTCTTTCAAATCTCCGGAAACGGGTAACCTGAGTCGCTGATGAATGCTAAGCCATTTTTCATTCAATGACCTGTTTGTAAACTGAGGGGAGGACTTTGAAAGTCTAGAGCCAGGCTCTTGTCATGTCAGCTGCAATTTCAATAGCATCCGACAGGGGAGACATTTTAAAATCAATCCTGTGGATTTGCCAATCTCCTGAATCGTCCTCCAGTCTCTGGGATTGAAACATTAATCTAGCGAACACTTATGCAAGCAACCGGTGGTTAGCAAGTTAGAACTGTCTGGGACTGATTGGTCCTTGGCAGCATGGATTTTACGAAATTTCTAAAACAAAAGCTTAACTAAGCAAGGTGCAGGGCTGGATGAACACAGCTTTTCTGATGAAGGGTCTAGGCCCAAAACGTCAACCTCTCTGCTCCTATGATGCTGCTTGGCCTGCTGTGTTCATCCAGCCCTCCACCTTGTTGTCTCGGATTCTCCAGCATCTGCAGTTCCACTATCTCTGAGCTTAACTAAGCAGTTTTGCTCGGTACTGCTTAGGTTCATTGTGACTGCAAACCAGTGACTGGCTTTGTGGGCTGCTTTATCCCATGACCCAAATGACCCTGGACATTGCACAACTAGGCTTGACCCAAACTGCTTACAACTAAATCCCCCCACAACCCCGAAAATTCTGGTAGAGACATAATCTCGAGCCATATTTGAGGTTCTGTACCTCTCTGTATTTTCATGAGGCAACTTATCTCAGCTTTTATCTCTCTCAGCTTGACCACAGGCCTAGTTAGTTTTCCCAGGCCATGGGAAACCTAACATCTGGAGAAAGTGGGGACTGCTGCATGGAGAGGGAAGTACTTTCCAGTAGTGCTTGTGGGCCTGAAGGAACAGGAGTACTTTATCCGGACAAGAGTCTTTTCTCCCACCTCACTAACCAACCCCCACCTCCACTTCCTACCTACTAGCCTCATCCCCACCTCCTTGACCTGTCCGTCTTCCCTCCCACCTACCTGCCCCTCCCTCCTCACCGACCAACCCCCATCCCAACTCCCGACCTAGACTCACCTTTACTGGCTTCATCCCCACCTTCTTGACCTGTCCATCTTCTTTCCACCTATCTGCTCCTCTATCCACCTTCTCTCATTGCCTCCCCCTCTCTCTATTTATTTCAGAACCCCCCTTCCCCTCCCCCATTTCTGAAGAAGGGTCCAGACCTGAAACGTCAGCTTTCCTGCTCCTCTGATGCTGCCTAGCCTGCTGTGTTCATCCAGTTCTACACCTTGTTATCTTTATCCGGACAAACCTGTTTCTGTCTCTGAGTGATTGAATAGGGCTCCCTATGGCACTAATTTTCTTCACCTCAGTGACCACTGGCCCTTCTCTGCCTTAACTGTCTATGCCCACTACTTGATCTCTAAACTAGACTATTTACTGTCTTCCCATCTGGCATCCTGTGTGATCTCAGGAAACCTGATCCTGACTGACACATCTGTTACAAACACCTACGTGACAGGTATCCAAGCCTAACAATTGGGCAGACAGCCAGGTTTCGTAGTTCCAGAAATGTCAGAAAGATCTGGAAGTTCAGGTCCACTCTTCCTTCCACTACCTCCCCACCCCCCAACGTCACAATCCCTGTTATACGGAGCCAAAAATATTTCATTATTTCCAACTTGTATGGAGACATCGTGTTCTATTAAAGGGTGGGATTATTGAAGGCCATGTCATGAAACAAATGCAAACACATTCAATTAAAGTTGTCAACCCTAGCGTTTGTGCATCTGAACATCATACTTAGGTTGGTTGCATGCAGTATTGGACTCAGTTACTTGGGGATTAGAAGGCTGCTTTGGAACTTTTGTATTGTAAATGTGCTGTGTGGGACAAAGTATTGTTCCTGTAGCATTGTTTTTCTTATTTGGCCTTAATATTGGTCATGCAATACTTATTGTTTATCTCTAGTTGCCCTGAGAGGGTGAACTTGTTTTCTTTTACATTTTAAAACCATACATGCAGGTCAGGTCAAGTAGGGGTAGTAGGAACTGCAGATGCTGGAGAATCCGAGACAACAAGGTGCAAGGCTGGATGAACACAGCAGGCCAAGCAGCATCATAGGAGCAGAGAGGCTGACGTTTCGGGCCTAGACCCTTCATCAGAAAAGGGGGAGGGGAAGGGGGTTTTGAAATAAATAGGGAGAGAGTGGGAGGCGGATAGAAGAGGGATGGAGGAGAGGATAGGTGGAGAAGAAACAAACAGGTCGAAGAGGCGGGGATGGGGCCAGGAAAGGTGAGTGTAGGTAGGGAGTTAGGAAGGGGATAGGTCAGTCCAGGGAGGACGGACAGGTCAAGGGGGCGGGATGAGGTTGGTCAGTAGGAACTGCAGATGCTGGAGAATCCGAGACAACAAGGTGCAGGGCTGGATGAACACAGCAGGCCAAGCAGCATCATAGGAGCAGAGAGGCTGACGTTTCGGGCCTAGACCCTTCATCAGAAAAGGGGGAGGGGAAGGGGGTTTTGAAATAAATAGGGAGAGAGTGGGAGGCGGATAGAAGAGGGATGGAGGAGAGGATAGGTGGAGAAGAAACAAACAGGTCGAAGAGGCGGGGATGGGGCCAGGAAAGGTGAGTGTAGGTAGGGAGTTAGGAAGGGGATAGGTCAGTCCAGGGAGGACGGACAGGTCAAGGGGGCGGGATGAGGTTGGTCGGTAGGAGATGGAGGTGCGGCTTGAGGTGGGAGGAGGGGATAGGTGGGAGGAAGAACAGGTTAGGGAGGCAGGGACGAGCTGGACTGGTTTTGGGATGCGGTGGGGGGAGGGGAGATTTGGGGAACAGGTTAATAGGGTAGCAAGTTTAATGATACCTCATCCACTTCGCCTGCCACCACACACCTCCCCCTCCCTCACCGCCGCCACCACCACCACACACATATACACTCACCCACACAGGTTTAATTGATTTTCTTTAGAATTTGGATCCACAATTGACACAATTTGATCTACTCATTTGATCACTAGGTTAACAGTTTGGTTCCATGTGTATATTATTAATGCAATTTTGAAAAAATGTCTCTGGCTATACTACTACAGTGATATCTTTCATGCTACAGGTTCTCAATAACCATAACAAATGCAGAGCTGTTCCATTTAATTGAAGATTGCCAAGTCTTGTTTTTTAAACTATGTACTCTTCGGTGCAGGAAGTATGAAATAGAAACAGGAAATTCTGGAAATGCAGTCCCATTATCGTCTGAAAATAGAAAAGACAGCTTAGCATTCAAGTAATTTCCCTTTTCTGCTGTTGTATAATTGAATAATGTTACATTTTCTGATTAGACTTACATAATTATTTCACCAAGTACTGTTGTCTTTTGCTTATGTTGTTATTAGCTAAAGCGAAGTGGTCTTACATGCAAGATGTTCGAGTTTGAAGAGGATTGTTTGCTACCTTTGGATGCTTTGTTTTTTGAAAAGCCTTCATCAGAGAAAGTGTATGTTATTTTGTGTTTTATTACATAAAGATGCTTCAACTTGGCATGCACTCATGATTGATCAATCCTGCCAAAGTCGCAAATTACTTTGAATTTGGCCTGCTTCAGTTGTTATGTCTTGTTCAGTTAAGTTTCTGCAGAAACAGAATATATCATTGCCTGTAGTGAGGCATGATAAGTACTCACAAAATTGATATTGACCAGACACCTTAGAAAATCGGTCAAGTTATCATTGTAAATGGAGTTCGCATTTAATTATATATGCCTACAGCATATTCTATATCTGGTGTTTTCAACTGACACATATTAATTTTTATTACTATTTTTATTACTTGGGAAATTTAAGCTAAATTATGATGTAAAATAGCAGAAATACAAAGTTATTAACTATAACAGTTTCTATTTTTCAAAATAGGCTGCTATATATTTGTGAAATTGCTTTTTATACACTTCTGTCATTGAGTCCACTAATATTTAACATCTTTGCTTTATCTCCTGACTATGCACATGTTCCCACAGTCCTTTAATGACTATTTGAATTCTTTTTTCCTGTATTTGTTCACATTAGAAACTGCACTCACTTCTAAATAATTTGTGGTGTGTGAAGCATTTTGGCATATTTTAGATTTGATTAACTATAAAAATGTAAGTTTTTCATTTGTTGGGAGAAGCATTTTATTATTTCTCAGATAAACCTCTATGCATTCTTGGAGAAATCATGAAGGCAGTATCATACTCCTTAGAAAGAAGGTCAGCAGTTCTATATTGATATTTTTGAGCCTGAATTAGTGATAAGAAATGTACATTAAATGAAAAGAATTATCAAACAACACAATGGAATATTGATATTTTCATCAACTGACTAACCTGCTATGCTCAAGTTCTGACATGATAAACAAACGTGTAAAATCCCTTGATCATCTGCATATTTGTTCTGGGGTCAAAGATGGAGTTGTTGCAGTAGTTGAGATTCCTTTTAACTAAAAGAGAACAGGAGCTCTCTTTACTGCATGTGATGAGTAAGTATTGGCCTAAAATTTCTTGGAGACTTGCAGTTGTAATGTTACATCTCTGTTATAAGCTGCAGCACAGAAGTCCAAAAGAAATTATAGCACTAGTGACTTAATTACTTAAGCCACAATTGATTCCTGCACTGTTCTGTCACTCCATCTCACCAAAATAGTGACAAGATAATTATAACAGCTGCACCTCATTAAAATTAGTAAAAATTGCTGAAAGAATGCTACTTGATTGCCGCACGCCAGTTTCATCTATCAAAGAATTGTGTGCGTAGGCTCAATATGGTGAAAAGACAAATTGTGATGAAGTATTCAAGGCAAACAGTTCGCAGTTCCACTGTTTTTTTCACTTTCCTTCCTTGATCTGGTTAGAATTTGCCTGAAAAATATTTTGGGACAGTTCGCCTGTTATAAGAGTGTTGCCACTGACAATAAATCAGTGTGGATGAGTCAGAGATAGTAGGAACTGCAGATGCTGGAGAATCTGAGACAACAAAGTGTAGAGCTGGATGAACACAGCAGGCCAAGCAGCATCATAGGAGCAACGAGGCTGACGTTTTGGGCCGAGACCCTTCATCAGAAATGGGGGAGGGGAAGGGGATTCTGAAATAAATAGGGAGAGAGGGGGAGGCGGATAGAAGATGGATAGAGGAGAAGATAGGTGGAGAGGAAACAGACAGGTCAAAGAGGCGGGGATGGAGCCAGTAAAGGTGAGTGTAGGTGGAGAGGTAGGGAGGAGATAGGTCAGTCCAGGGAGGACGGACGGGTCAAGGGGGCAGGATGAGGTTAGTAGGTAGGAAATGGGGGTGTGGCTTGAGATGGGAGGAGGGGATAGTTGGGAGGAAGAACAGGTTAGGGAGGCGGGGACGAGCTGGGCTGGTTTTGGGATGCGGTAGGGGGAGGGGAGATTTTGGAGATTTTGAAGCTTGTGAAATCCACATTGATACCATTGGGCTGCAGGGTTCCCAAGCGGAATATGAGTTGCTGTTCCTGCAACCTTCGGGTGGCATCGTTGTGGCACTGCAGGAGGCCCAGGATGGACATGTCGTCTGAGGAATGGGAGGGGGAGTTGAAATGGTTCGCGACTGGGAGGTGCAGTTGTTTATTGCGAACCGAGCGTAGGTGTTCTGCAAAGCGGTCCTTTGTTTTGTTATTTTTTGATTAACTTAATTTACAGATGATGGTGTAGTTTAGGAGCCTTGCTGTAGAGCCTGTACTTGTTTCTATCATGCTGATTTCAAAAGGAAACTAGGTGGAAACTTGAAAGAAATAAACACAGTGCTGCAGGGATAGAGTGAGGGAATGGAACTGACTATATTTCTCGAAAGAGAACTGGCATGGACTTGAAGGGTTGAACATTCATTATGACTCTGATTATGCAATAGTGCTACCTAAACCTTTGCTCTCCTATGACTCCATTTGGAGAAATGAAAGTTGTTGGGATCCCAAGATGTTAGTAGATGTTAGATTATAACAGAGCACTTAGAAAGTATTTTTTTAAAAGAAAAATCATGTTTAAACAATTTCTTGACGTTCTTTGTGTATGTAACATGTGCCATGGATAAAGGAGAACTGATGAATGTATGTATTTAGATTTCTAAAAGGCATTTGATAAGATGCCCATCAAAGGTTGTTGCAGAATGTAAAAGCTCATGCATGGGGTAACATTGACATTTTAGGAGATTGGTTAATGAACAGGAAACAGAAAACAGGCATAAAACTGGTGCCACTGAGATCACTGCTGAGGTCTCAACTTTTTTACAATTCATATGAATGACTTAGATGAAGGGACTGAATGTATAGTTGCCAAATTTGCTGCTGATACGAAGATGGGTGGTTAACGATATTTGACTGATCTAATTGAAAATATGATTAACTTTTGGGGAAAATTTATAGTTAGATTAGGAATTAATTTCATCATCAAATTTGTTTAAGGAACTATCAATGGTAAGGTCTTAGTTCTCACCAAACCATGATAGTATTGGTGATTATTAACGTTATAGTGCCCTTGGTATGCTGTGAAGAGGACATGAGACAACAGAGGGATATAGATAGGTTAAGTGAATGGGTATATATCTCACAAAAGGACAAAAATGTGAAATTGTCCATTTGGCAGGAAGAATTAATAAAAGCATACTATATAATTGATGTGAGATTACAGAGCAACCTGGGTGTCCCTAGTAAATTATTTGCAAAATGTTAATATGCAGATCTGAAATAATTAGGGCAGATTGAATGTTCTCATTTATTGTGAAGAAAATTGACTACTCAAAGTGGAGAGGTTTTGTTTCAGTTAGGGCATGGTGGACCACATCTGGATTGTGTATACAGTTTTGGTCACCTTATGTAAAGGAAAATTTTTAGCTGACTCATACCTGGAGCGGGCTGGTTGTCTTATGAGGAAAGGCAGATCAGGAAAGATTTGTATCCATTGGAGTTTAGAAGTGATTAATTGAAACATGCAAGATCCTGAGAGGTCTTCACGGGGTGGCTGTGGAAAGGATGTTTCCTCTTATGGAGGATCTAAATTTGGGGATCACGGTTACAAAATAAGGGATTGCCCATTTAAGATGATAAGGAGAATTGTTTTCAGAGGATCATTAGTCTTTGGACCTCTCCTCAAAAGGTGATGGAGGCAGAATGGTCAAATACTTTTAAGGCAGAGTTAGATATGTTCTTGATAAGCAAGGATGTGAAAGATTGTCAGGGGTAGGCAGAAATGTGGAGTAATCAGCTCGAACATGATCTTATTGAATGGCAGCGGTATCTTGAAAGGACAAATTATTTTTATTCTTTAATGGGGTGTAGACTTCAGTGATTGAAACATCATCAATTGTCCATCCCTAGCTGTTTTTTAAGCAGGTGGTGGTGAGCTGCCTTCTTGAACTGCTGCAGATTGTTTAAATTAGGTAGATTCATGGTTCCATTAGGGAGGGAATTCCAAGATTTTAATCCAGTGACATTAAAGGAAAGGTGTTATATTTCTAAGTCTAAATGGTGAATTGCTTGGAGGGCAACTTGCGGAAGGTGGTACTGCTATGTATCTGCTACCCTTGTCTTTCTGGGTGGTAGTGGTAGTTGAATGGGAAGGTACTGTCTGAGGAGCCTTGATAAATGTCTGCTGTGTTTTTTGTGGATAGTATACACTGCTGCTGCTGAGTGTCACTGGTAGAGAGACTGAATGGTACCACATCGACAAATAATCAAATGGGTTGCTTTGTCCTGGTGGTGTCAACATCATGAGTGTTGTTGGAGCTGCACTCATCCAGGCAAGTGGGAGGTATTCCATCACACTCTTGTTTTGTGGCTTGTAGATGGTAGATAGGCTATGGGTGTCAGGAGATGAGTTATTTGCTGCAAGATTTCTAGCGTGTGACCTCTTTTTGTGGATGCAGTATTTATGTATGTATTAATATATATATTTATATGGCTAGTCCACTGGCATTCCCGAAAGATATTTATAGAGAAGGCTTCAGTGATGGCAATGCCATCGAATGTCAAAGAGCAATGGTTAGACCCCCTTTTGTTGGAGATAGTCATTGCCTGGCACTTGTGTAGTGCAGTGTTACTTACCACGTGTCAACCCAAAACCACATATTGTCTGCTATTTCCTGCATTTGGATGTGAACCGCTTTAGTATCTGTAGAGTTGTGAATGGTGATAAGCATTATGCAATCATCAAGAAACTTACCCCTTCCATCCTTCTGATGGAGGGAAGCTCATTGATTAAGCAGCTGATGGTTGGGATGAGGATACTACTTTGTGGAACTCCTGTCCAGGTGTACTGGAGCTGACATGGCTGACCTTCAACAACTACTGCCATCCTCCTTTATGCAAGGTGGAGAGTTTCCCATAATTCCTATTGACTCCAGTTTTCTCGAGGTCCTTAATATCATACTTGGTCAAATGTAGTCTTGATGTTCAGGGTAGCCATTGGCCTTTTCCCGGCTGCTGGTTTGTATGTTGGTATGACATGTTTCATCCTGCCTCCATGTAAGGAGATTAATTTCAGAGAAGGAAGTTAGCATGGAAGTATATGACAACCTCAGAAGATATGACTATCAAGGTGGTCTTGAACATTGAAGAATAGTCAATGGCTCCTTTCATTCTCTTATGCTTTAATTTGTCTAAGATGTGTTCAGTCCAAATAAATGAAAAGAAGACCCCATAATAAACTAGGTATACAGCATTCATTGCAAAGAAATCTGAAGATCAGCAATGAACGTAGTTCCAGTTTTGAGTACTTCACATATGAAAAAGCTCTTACTTAATTAAAACAGAGTTCAAGAAATATTTAAATGGAGACTCATTTCTATTAACTGTTAATCAAATTCACTTCTTATTTCTGGAAAAGCAGATGTATAGATATTTCATATTGTGTAAAGTCATGTATTTGACATACTAAGCTAAAAAAAAGTTCTAATACTGTGACAGGAAACATATTAATCAAGGAAAGACAAGTTGGAAGATTGCTCCAGCTCCATCAATTTCTGAAATACCAGCAGCTCAGGATTTACAGAGAGATCTCGAAAGATTAAGATCTTCAGGTATAATGTATTAGTTTAACATTTCAGATAGTTTATTTTTAACTTGTGTAACTATTTATAAAGGATTTTTAACCAGTTTTATAGGTTTTTTTTAACTTTACTTATTAATCATTTTGCAGTGTTAATCTCATATTGACAGTTTTGGAGTAGAAAATCATGAAATCCAACCATTGAAACATCAATTTGATCCTATAGCCAGCGTAAGGGGAAGGGATGGTCTAGTGGAGTTATTGCTAGATTATAATCCAGAAACTCAGGTAATGTCCTGGGGACATGGGTTCAAATCCTACCATGGCAGATGGCAAAATTTGAACTCAATAAAAAGTATTGGAATTAAGAATCTACTGACAACCATGAAATCATTGTTGATTGTCAGAAAAACCATTCTGGCTCACAGATGTCCTTCAGGAATGGAAATCTGCCATCCTCACATGGCCTGGCCTGGCCTGCATGTCACTGCAGACCCACACAAAGTGGTTGACTCATAAATGCCCTCTGAAAAGTCTAAGTAAGCTACTCAGTTGTATCAGTCTCAACAAAGAAGTGAAACCAGATGGACCACCTGGCATCAACCTAGGCACTGGAAAATACAACGGCAGAATCAGCTCTGTCGATCTTGCGAACATCTCGGGCTAGTTCAAAAATTGGGAGAGCTGCCTCACGGACTAGTCAAGCAACAGCCTGACATAGTCATATTCACAGAATTGTACCTGACAAATAATGTCCCAGACACTACAACCACCCTCCCTGGATATATTTTGTCCCACTGGCAGGATAAACCCAGCAAACGTGGTAGCAGAGTGATGTACAGTCAAGGGGAAGCTTCCCTGGAAGTCCTCAATATTGGCTGCAGACTCCATGAAGTCTCATGGCTTCAGGAAAAACATGAGCAAGCAAACCTCCTACTGATAACGATGTACCAGACTACCTCAGCTGATAAGTCAGTGCTTCTCCACGTTGAATAACACTTGGAGGAATCTCTAAAGGTGGCAAAGACACAAAATATACTCTGGGTGGGGGATTTCTAAGTCCACCAGAGTGGTTCAGCATCAGCACTACTGATTGAGCTGGTCGAGTCTGATATGACAAAGATACTACACTTGGTCTGTGACAGGTGGTGAGGGAACCAACTAGAGGGAAAAAACATACTGGATTTCATCCTTACCAATCTGCCAGCTGTAGATACATCTGTCCATGCCAATATTGATAAGAGTGGCTACCGCGCAGCCTTTGTGGACTTGACTATCCCTAATTAATCCTTACCTTTCCAAATGCATTTAAATCCTGTCCCATAGAATCCCTTCCAACAAGTTATCCATCACTGATGTAAGGCTCACCAGTCTATAGTTTCCTGGCTTTTCCTTACAGCCTTTCTTTAACAATGACACCATATTAGCCAACCTCCAGTCTGCCAACATCTCACCCATGGCTGTAATGATACAGATATCTCAGCAAGAGGCCTTGCAATCTCTTCCCTTGCTTTCCACAAAGTTCTGGGAAATACCTAGAGTCATATAGCATGGAAACAGACCCTTCGGTCCAACTAGTTCACAAACCAGACTGGCCCCATTTGATGCGTTTGGCCCATATCCCTCCAAACCAGTCCTATTCATGTACTTATCCAAATGTCCTTTAAATGTTGTAACTGTATCTGCATCCACCACTTCCTCTGGCAGTTCATTCCCATACACAAACCATTCTCTGTGTAAAAACGTTGCTCCTCATGTCATTTTTAAAACTTTCTCTTTTCATCTTTAAAATATACCCTTTAGTTTTTAACTCCCCCACCCTAGGGAAAAGATCCTTGCTATTCACTTTTTCTATGCCCGTCATGATTTTATAAACCTCCACAAGATCACTCTTCAACCTCCTATGCTCCAGTGAAACAACCTATCCAGCCTATCTTTATAACTCAAATCCTCCATTCCTGGCAGCATACTGCTAAGTCTTTTCAGAACCTTCTCCAATTTAATAATACCCTTTCTATAACAGGGTGACCAGAATTGTACAAAGTATTCCAGAAGAGGCCTCACCAACGTGCTGTACAAACACAACAATACGTCCCATCTTCTATACTCAAAGGTCTGAGCAATGAAGGCAATTGTGCTAAATGCCTCCTCAACTACCCTGTCTACCTGTGATGCAAATTTTGAAGAATTATGTACATGAGCCCCTAGGTCTCTGTTCTACAACACTATCAAGAGCCCTACCATTAATTGTATAAGTCCTACCCTTATTTATTTTACCAAAATGCAAAACCTCACATTTATCCATATTAAACTCCATCAGTCACTACTCAACCCATTGACCCAACTGATCAAGATCTCTTTGTAATCTTAGATAACCTTCTTCACTGTCCACCATACCACCAATTTCGCAAACTTAATAACCATGCCTCCTATATTCTCATTCAAATTATTTATACAAATGACAAACAAAAGTGGTCTCAGTAACAATCCCTGTGGAACACTGCTCATCACAGGCTTCCAGGCCAAAAAACAACCTTCCATGATGATGTGCTTCTGACAAGCATCTGTGCCATCACTAACATTACCTAATTTCATCTCTGTAACATTGTCTAACTCCGACGTGCCGCAGCTCACCTCCTGTCAAAACATTCCCTCGGGCCTTTTTTACATTCTGGATTACTGTCCAGATGCAGCCTTTGTCAGTATTCAGTGTGTTCACCCCTTGTAAAGCTAAGATTAATGGAAACTGTGCTGCTTGTGTTCTGTATGTCACCCATTACTTCTGTGTTCACCTACCCCCATTAACTCCCAATTAAGCAACGCCTGGATTTTAAAATTCTCATCTTGTTTTCAAAGCTGTCTATGGGCTTGCCTTCTCACACTCTGTAATAACTTCCAGCCTGAGAATGCTCAAATTATCTGCACTCCTCCAATTCTGACTTATTTGCTTCATCATTGTCAGTTATGCATTCAACTGCTTGAGCTTAAAGCCCTGAAATGCCTTGGCTAAATCCTTCCACAGTCTAATTCTGTTTTCCTTCTTTAAGTTGCTTTTTAAAACCAACCTACGTGACCAGACTTTGGTCATCCTGTTTTGTGACTTGCTGTCATTTTTTTCGATCACTTTGGCAAGGTACTTTTGGCTGTTTTATAATGTTAAAGGAAATATGTAAACACAAGTTGTTGCTGTTGTGGAAATAAAAATATTGGATATGGGTCAAATGCACTGGGACTAGTTTGATTTGGGAACATGGTCAGCGTGGACTACTTGATCCAAAGGGTTGGAATTAGGCAATTTCCATGCTGTACAACTCTATAGATATTGAACGTTTGAAGCAAGAGTGCAAAATAAAAGAGTGTGCTTTCATCTTAAAATAATTTCACTGTAAATGTTGCAAATGTTTACTAATATATCTTGTTTGTAAAAATACTATCAGATTGATTGAACTTCAAAATCAAAGCCAATTTTTTTTTAATTCATTTATGGGATATAGGCTTCACTGGCTGGGCTGGCATTTATTACCCATCAGTAATTACATTGAATAGATTGCGATGATAGGGGGAGTTGATGGTTTAGTGGTACTATTGCGAGACTGTTAATTCAGAAACCCTGGGGACCTAGGTTCAAATGGTAGATGGTGGAATTTGAATTCAATAAGTTCCTGAAATTAGGAGTCTATTGATGACTATGAAACCATTGTTAAATGTCAGAACAACCCATCTGGTTCACTAATATCCTATATGGAAAGAAACTGCTGTCCTTACCTGGTCTGACCTTCAGACCCACAGCAATATGGTTGACACTTAACTGCCCTCCGGGCAACTAGAAATGGGCAATAAATGCTGGCCTGGTAGTGACAGCCACATCCCATGAAGGAATTTTAAAAAAAGCTGCTGCCTTGAACTGCTGCAATCCATTTAGTATGGGGACACCCACAATATTATTAAGGAGGAGGTCTCTCACTTTGTGAAATTCAGGCGATGAATTACTCATGTCAGGTTCCTAACCTCTGACTTGATCTTGTAGCCAAAGTATTTTTATGGCTTGTCCATTTCAGTTTGTGTAATACACTAGGTCAATTGGTGCATTAAATAAAAATGTCTAATGTTTCAGAGATTTTTCATCAAAGCATTTTGACAATATATCTCCACTTGAAAATGCTATAGCATTTTTTTGTAATTTATATATACAGATACTGCCAAACCTTTTTTGAGCTTCTGGGTTTACAGTTCTTATTTCAGATTTACATTTTCAGTATTTTCTTTAGACCTTCATTTCTGTCTCATTCATCATCTTTATTTTGACTTTAAATTGCTTCTGGAATCTCTCATCACTTTCTCATTTTTATATTACAGTGCATGCATACATTTTTGCACCAATATGATCAAGATTTCAAAGTTTCTACATTTATATTTTCTAGCTTAACAGAACTAATATCAAGACAGTTACAATTAATTACTCTGCTCCCAGTGCTATTGTATGTTCTGGCAGTTGCCCCAAGTGGCTGAAAAATGAGAGCAAGGCTGACTTTCTTGTAGATAATCTTCGGTTGCTGAATTCAGATTCCCCAATGTGTAAGCATTTTACCACAATAATATAGTGAACTGTTTTGCTGAAACCTGAGCACAGCCCGAAAACATTTTTGCCTCTATTCATGAAACAACACCAAGCTCACATTTTATAATGTATAGGATTACAGTAGACAGCATTTTACCTTCCATAGGTATCAGCAATCCCTACCATTATATCAATTCTCAGAAGATTTATCACATTTATACTTTCTGGAGGAAACATAGCTTTTCCTACGTATGGCATTCTAACCTTTTATAATTTTCTGTGTGAACACTTGTCACTTAATTGCTAAATCATGGCCCCAGCATTGTCAATCAGCCAAGGCCTTTTCAAACAGTATGCTAAATTCCTTAGACTTAATTGTCATACCAATAATCATGTTATTCACTAGGTTCTGGAAATGTTCCATCATTC